TTCCTGTTGGTTTCCCATAGTTCCTTCGGATGACCATCTATAATACTCATTGGTGATGTGGACTGGGTGCAATGTGCTAACAAATCCACGAGCCGCAGTAGATTTGCTCAAACGATTCGGGAGTTCTGACAGTAAAACCCAACTCCCTCTGAATTCGAACTTCCTGAGTCGTTGGCGCAATACGGGAGGGCCTTTGCGCTGAAGACCGGCATCAACTAATACCAGTGTCAGTGATGGGAAGAATCGTTGACAGCTTGATGGCAACGCCTTCAACTTGAAAGCAAAGGAAGACAAAATCTATTTTTTTCTGAGGTCGTTCGAGCCCGCCTTGCTAAGAAAATTCCTAAAAAATTGGAGACTCTCGGGCGGTCAGTTCTTTTAGCTCCGCCTTGTAGCACTAATCCTGCGTCAACGAACGACTATCCGCTCTCCTCTCTCAATCACCTTCTGGAGAAGAAATCTCACTTGAATCACCATAAAGTCAAAATCGACATCCAATAATTTCTTCGATCAGAACTCTATGAAATTCTACAAGAGAGACACTGAATACCCACCCTCGCATTGGTTATATGTTGGTAATAATGGTGATGTATACTATGCTGAATAAGTACATCAGAGAAATAAGATAAGTAATTGAATCGAAAAACACCAAAGGTTCTCAAAAATTATGGACCGACCTAATACATAATCTCCTAACCATACTTACTTGTTCAACCTTATAAGGAAAAGTGGTGGCTGGAAAGCTCGAGTAGCAATTTTTGCGGGAATCACGGTTGAGAGGAAACCGCAACCTTCGAGCTATAAGGGACAGCTATCCAAAAGGTTGTGATGGGCCAATCATTTCATCCAGTACACGCGCGCAATCAAACTAGTGCGGTTATCGCACACGAGTATGGACAGTAGAGCGAAATGGGCCGGCAGTAGAGTGAAAGGAGAACTCTTCAAAATGTTTTGGGTAAGGGCCTAATCAGTTTTTGTTTAAACTGTGCTAAGACAGTGGGAGATTGAGCACGGTGTAGATAGGATGGGCGAGGCAGCACAACGGATGAGAGAGCTCCAGACAGCAGCATGCTGTGGGGAAGAATAGTTGAAGCGGTTGAAGCGGTCTTTGCAAGACGCTAGCGCCCTTCTCGAGCGATTTTCATGTGTCGGAGTGCAACATATGTGATTATCCATTACGCGTCTATTCTGCAATGCAAACAAAAAAGAATCGTTCAACTTTCGACTGGGTTGTGCCTTGAGGTCCTTATTTATAACAGTATTTTTGCCGCCAAAATCGTACCAAATTCCGGACCGTAAAGATTTAGCATTATGAATTCTTCGGAAACTGCACAATCACTAAAATTAAGCAATATGAAGGAAAGAAGACATTAATAAGCTAAGTCGTTTATTTCAGAGATCGGGATCATTTTCATCAAAATCTCATTTCATTGTGACAGTTTTACGAGACGAAGGTCTTTTCGTCCTTGTCAGTCTGGAGAATCTGGACGATATCTCTGCATGAACTTCACTTGAACCAATCAGTATGAACACCGGTATTAGAATATCCGGTATAAAGCAGAGTATGTTGTATATGCTGATTATCATGATCCGCGACTCGTTTGATGAGGGTATCCGATAGAGAAGAATAAAAAGCAGAGTGAACATCTGAAAAAATTGAGGTGCTTCATAGTTCCATTAGAACATGGTGCAGGTTAGAAGGCTGTGTGTCGTTAGGTCACTGCGCGACGACGCAAGGACACGTGCGTCGCGCGATGAGCTGCTCGCGGCAATTCTGCGGCGCAGTTGATTTGAGTGACAGTTAGCCATCCTCCTCGGTCCTCGGTGGAGGGGAAGTGATTGCAGACACAGCGGTCCCTACCTACGCAGGGCGAATGCCTAGGACCAAACTGAAACGCAGTTTCTTGGCCTGCGACTGGTACCAGACAAGACAAGGACCCGTCGCGCGGCAAGAAGGCAGAGTCACGGACGAGTTGCAGTGCGTCAAGCGATTTTGCGTCAAGTTGGGTGTGGTGTATCATCGTACGTCCTACGTCCTACATCGCATAGACGCACTGCGACTCGTCCGCTGACCCTGCCTTCTTGCCGCGTGACGGGCCTCTTGTCAGGTACCCGTGTGCGACCCATGGCTGTGGGCGTTTCGTTGCTTCGTTCTGTCTGTGTCGGAAGGTAGCGCTGTTATGGCTCGTTCCACGCGCACTGGATTTTTGTACGCGATACGTGGCTCTGCACTAGAATGCCCCCTCAGAAACATACCCGCATTTTTGCACATAGTTTCTTAGATAAATACAAAAAACTTCAGGGGTTAGATACGGTTCGTATGAGTATTGATGGAGTATGTGCTGTGATTTCGTCAGCTATGCCAGTGGACATCCGTCCCGCGTTGGGGCTCGCGTCGCGGGCGTCGTTAGCGTCGCGCTATCGCTTGAATCGCTAGCTATGAACGCGGCCTGGCTCCTATTCGCTGCATTACTAAGAGGCTTACCGTATTTACTATAGCCATCAAAGCAATCTCTCGAAACATCCTTTGTCGTATCTGAAACAGTGTGTCTCAGAGTTCGGTCATGGTTGGCGCGTAAAATAACATACCTTGGCTGTTTTCTCAGAATGTTTTTGGCTATGGTATCGTAGATATACGATAATCGTCAGATGCAGGCACACAGAAACGCTGGCAATTGCTAGGAAAAAACCATTTGCAAGCGCATTCTGTAATAGTTTTGTGTGGGCTCACTGTACTGTCCTCCCATTGACGAATGTCGCGCACATGTCCCCCCCCCCCCTGTCACTCTTGAGCATGAGGTTCACCCTGGAAGGACGGCACTAGGGTTGGCGTGAGGGTTTGCAGATCGGGGTGTTACGCCGCGTTCGCTGTCCGCTGCTACGCCATGCAAGTTGCTTAGGCACTAGAAGGATTCAAAGATATGGGGGTCGCGATAGAATTAGTGTGCTATTTGTTCGACAGTTATGACAAGAAGTGCGGCGGAAGACGCTAATTAGAAGTGCAAAAGCAACATAAACACTGAATTTATTTTTATTTTTATTTATCTTATTTATTTATTTATTTTATGGAAGTAGAAAATACCATGAAAAGCTTGAAAAGCTGAGTTGGAATGAAATGGTGCCCCGGTAGCGTAACTGGTAGCGCACTTGCCCGGAAAGCGAGAGGTGCGGGTTCTAGTCCCGCCTGGGGCGAAAGTTTTGTTCACAACCCAGCATTCTTGTGAAACATTCGCAACGCGAACTGCGGCGTTAAAACAGCAGTTAACAAACAAAACAAGTCAATTTTTTCTTGTGAAGTTAGGGCTAAGTTAAGACGACGGAGAGATATAGCGCTACGAGGAGAGGGAAACTGCGAGAGAGCACGTAGTTGAGCGAGAGGGCGCAGACGCCGCGTATGCTGCCATTGACAGGGAATGGCAGCGGTCGCTGCGGTCCAGCGAGGGCGTTGCTGCTTGTTGCGCACTTCCAAGTGATTAAAGCACCACCAGCCCTGTCATTAGGGGTCCTACTATTCACTCAAGGGAAGAATTCTCTAAGAATCCAATCGCGACCCGTGGCTTTAACACCTCCAGGCTATGTTCCAAGGGAGGACTGGAGAAGTGTGGGGTTGTCGCATCTCGGTCTGATTCTCGTTTTCTGAAGAATTTTTGCGAACCCTCTTATATTTCGTTGATTTGTAGAATTTAGGACGAATCCTTAAAAGCACGAAAAACAGTGAAAAGCAAGTCATACTTCGTAAGCTTCAGCTGAATCAATAAAGTCGACAAATCCGATCTCCACAATAAATTCTCGACGAAGATTTGACATGGTTATGACGATATATGTTTCTGCGGCTGCAATTACAAAGCAAACGAGACACAAGGCAATATAGCGATATCTGAATTGAAAATTTGTAGTGAAATTTCTGTAGCTCAATTTTTAATGAGAACAGCTGATTGTTCATTGTTAGGTACTACGTTTCACCAGTCCTTCGGCACTTGGGGAGCAATCGAAATCACCTCAAGGCATGCCCCAGGATCACATTGGTGTGGCTCTTGCACACGAATGCGAATGTATTGGTGCGAAATGGGCCGGCAGTAAAGAAAAAAGGAAAAGAATCCGTCAAAAACGCTCAGGTTAAGGGCTCACTCACCTTCCTAATCGGCTGTGCTAAGGGAATGAGAGACTAAGCGCGGAGAGGAGAGTATGAGGCGAGAGAGCGCTACAGATGAGAGAGCGCCAGACAAGCCTGAGAGAAAAAAGTCTGCAGCTTGGGCAGCTTACTTTGCAAGGCCCAAGCGCTCTTGTCGGTCTTCCGTGCACGAGAACGCCACATTTGTGATTGTCCTCTAGGGGTCTATACTACAGAGACCGAAGAGAAGCGTTTACACGACCTCTGCCTGGGTTGTGCCTTTTTGATGACTGGAGAGGTCTCTTCTGATAAAGGTGAATGTATGCGAAAGCAGAGGTTGTAAAAGGCGAATCACGGCTCAAGTGTGCATAGTAAGGCGTTACGGGACAGCGGTATTGCGTTAAAGGAATCTTCCACGGACCATGGACCAGTGGGCGGGACCGGAAGTGGTTTTGCGACGAAATGCATGGTAGGTACGGATCCACGTTCATGGGAAGGTTTGAAGTGAATCCTGTTCACGTTCGTGCGTTCGACACGTGGATCCGTACCTACCATGCATTTCGTCACAAAAACTTCCGGTCCCGCCCACTGGTCCATGGTCCGTGGAAGATTCCTTTAAGTTTGACCCTGCCCGTAAAACCAGGCATTCGCGATGTCTGCGCTTAACTCGCCCTGTAAGCTCTCTATTCCCCTCGTTGTGTAATCTCTCGTCTTGGCACTTACCAGGGAAGGCATTCAAGCTTCCATGGAACTTTAGATTATGACCCAGATATATCGATAGAGCTTCAAACGCTGGTTACAAATATGGAAACTAATAACGCGAAAATGAAGCAGCCAAGGAAGTGGTGAACAGTCAAAGTTGGCTAGAAGTAAAGCATTATATAGGAACCGTGCTAGCCTCCAGACTTTCAGAGTCGTCGTGGAGTAGCTGCAGTGTCTCGAAATTTGCACTGCAAGGGGCAGAGCACTCATGACCTGCGGCCGAAGAGCGAGACAATACTACTGCTCCATGGCGACTTTGAAAGCTAGCGCGGTTCGTGTATAACGCTTCACTTTCCAGCAAATTGATGGTCACAACTCCCTGGACACGGTTTTCATATGTTCAGCTTCATCAGGATAAGATAGCAGTGTCTCAATTGTCAAAGTTCGATGAGATGTGAATGGCCTTACGTGTCAGTACTTGTTGCGGTAGTGAAGTCGTGCAGTGCTCATAACGATACAGCACGAAGCAGTTCGTTTTCAAGGCGTTCTATGCGCTTCCCAGAGCCCTCCGTTACGCAGGACGTAGTTCAGCATTTGTGGTCTCACAAGGGGCTGTTTACGAATCTTGGAGTCTCCCCCAAGACGCCTCGTCGCGCGGCGAAGGAAGAGACGCAGATGCGGCAAAGGAGAGTCGCAGCCAGGGTCAAGCGAGGCGTCGAGGAAAATTCGGAAATACGACCCCCCCCCCCCCCTCTGCCGAAGGCCGAAGTCCATGAAACAACCCTCTTTAAAAGCCGAACTATGAAAAAGTTGTTTAATTCTCCACCAAAACTGCTCATAAAAAAGCCCTGCTACCCCATCGTCCACAAAAAAACTCGTTTAAAAAGTATAAAAGTGAAAAAGTCAAAGAATGATCATTAATGACGAGTCCTGTCAAACGAGCAAACGAGAAACGGAGCAAAAAACGTCAAACTAGTCACTAGAAATGGCGTACTATGACAACACCTCTTCTTTGTTTATTTCCTCCACAAGACTTACCAAATTCTAGTACTACACAGATTATGGTTCTCAATTTACACCCCCTTTCGCTCAAAGGAAGCCTTGTAAAAGCCTTCGCCAGCTGTGTGTTGACTGGACTTTGGCGTTGACCGTGGAGCAGCTTATTTACTATTGAAATTTGAACAAATATTCAAATGATTATAACTTTCTTCAAAGTTAACGAATTTTCAATCTGAAAGCTGATTTGGGAGTTTTGTGAAGAGCTTTTTCTAATCAGTACTGAAATTACAGGAAGTTATAAGAAATAACAAATTTAGATCAAATAACGAGGAAAATTCGAGACGAGCACGAGTTTTTACACTTTCCGGAGCAATAACTTGCTTCATTTCCGTCAAATTCAAAAAGTTGATACGTCATACAAAACTAGAAGATTTTCTCTATCAAACGGTCGCTAAAGCAGCTTCATACGTCCAGTACTCAAAAAATGGCCACGTTGAGGATTTTTGCAAAATTAACGAGGAAAATTCGTGATGAGTGCGAGTTTTTACGCTTTCCAAAGCCATAACTCCGTTCAAACTCATGCAATCTGGAAAGTTAATACGTCATCATAAACTAGAAGATTTGCTCTTTCTAGGGCAACTAAAACTGCTAAATACGTTCACTATTTAAAAAATGGCCACGTTGAGGATTTTGCCCGCCCGAGTACCGCCGAAAGGTTACTTTTTCGCTACATTAGCACTATCCCAACGACTATAGCTCCTTGCAGGAGCGATTACATACTGAAGTAGGAGCAGATTCAAAATCCTCGTGCTTTTCTCTCTGCAAAAAGTGTAAAATTGTTTAGCGGGTCTCAACTTTAAAGGTTACATGCTTGTGAATTTGACGCTGAAGGCTGCGTTTCTTGTTGAATAGTGTACTCCTCTCTGTAATTTAACATGAACTCTTTCAGAACCCTCTTGATTCTTCCTGAATTAAGATTCGTTATCAAGATAGCCGTAGCTGAAGCGCGCGCAACCAACTGGGCCCACTCTGGGATGCGCCGTGTGCTTCACATCTCGTTGGATTTGAGGACCTACTTGAAAGATAAAATATCCCTAGAAAACGTGCGAATTTCGGATCCTTTGACTTGTGTGGTGATGAAACACTAAAGTCACTAAGAATTGCTAAGCGGACACCTCTAAATCACGAAGATTTTGTGTGGACGGAATCAATTGTTATTGGAAATACTCTGGCCTGGTATCGATTCGATCCTTAATGTTTGTCCTCCGACGATGATCCTACTGTATCAATCGGGCCCGATCTCTCCCCAGCGGGCCAATACGACCCCCCCCCCCCTCTGTGACATGTCGAGGATTCCTCAACGCACGCTTGACCCTGCTTGCAGGGTTGATTGTGCGAGTATGAAACGTAGTGTGGTACACTCTCTTTAAGCTAACGCCTAACCGCGTGCTGCGACCCCGTCCTCGCAATACTGCGGTTCTTCTTCGCCGGTCAACGGGTCCTCTGGGTGACACCCCGAATCCTGATCCTTAGGAAAAAGATGGTACGAACTCCCGAGCCGAAACAGAAGACTGTTCGTAGTTGCGGCGATACAGAATTGCTACAAATCGATTCAGTGCGAGAAGAAAAATCAATAAAATCAGAAGTCTTTTAGACACCATGTCGATCACCAAGGTGATGATATTCTGATGGGCAATCAGCAGTCCGGACCACAAAGTCACAAGTTTGAATACAATACCGACAGCCAGAGCGGATTACGATCACGGCGACCAGTACGGTAAGAATTTTGAAGAACTGCATCTGTAATTAAAAAATTAGGATTGATTGCCGCCCAACAAGGTTTTGAGGCATGAGCGCTGCATAGTCGCGCGACTACAGTAATCCCAGTTTCGCCATGGGGGAAAACTTGTGGCGGGGTGGGGGGGGGGGCCGTAGAGAACTAATAATGATGCTTATTACTTTTTTTTCCAAATTTTTGTACTGAGAGGATATGATTGTAGCTCTGAAGCTTCAATCTTGGCCAAATGCCTCCCCCCCCCCTCCCACCCCGATTGGAACAGCGCCGTAAGTTTTTTCTTAAACTCATGTCGCTGGCGAAAATATAGTTCCACCTACCGTAAACCTGCGTACTCCAGTGAGTAAAGCAAGAAGTAGAACGGAGCTGACGATCAAAACTGCCACAGTTGTTATGGTTTCCAAGCTTTTGAGCAGTGCTGTACTGTAGATAGCGTTCTTGAAGCTTGGCTCCATGGTGCAAGGTCTATTTTTGCAAAGAGGAATGCTGAAATCCTCCATGGATGGCATGGTCGAGGAAAAAATAGGATTGGAATAGGCAGGGAACAGCGACATTCTGAATAAGAGTAGTTTCCAGCAAATTTTATGCCTGGAATGAGTTTTTTTAAAAGCTGGCAAAGGCTTTGGCTGATAAAATGTACAAATTCGACTGAAAAGATAGAAACCGCTCTGCACGTTGGATGGCTCCCGCAATTCATTGCATGGGTTAAACCTCTTTCAAATTCTACTACATTTTAAACGAGAGCAAAATGAGTGGCCCACATCAGGAAGGGTTCACGCCTTTGTGACCAACAGGTTTTTTGCGACGAGCGGGCGACTGCCCACTTTTGCAGCACAGCACTCCTATCAGAGCTCTAACAATCGTTCAAAGACAGAAGCTGGATGAAACGGGTGTTCATGAAGAGAAGTATGCCTGTTGGAGAGGGTGAAAGAGTTTCCAAATAAGCGAAAGGTGGCGCTACCGCGGCAGAAGGAGCGCTATAATGTGATCTTGGTGTAATAGGGCGCGTGAAGGGCTTCAACAGTCGCTGCGGGACTCAGACACGCCCACTTATCTCCAACACATAGAAGAAGTGATAACGACAATGTATTCGAAGAAAAACCGTTACCACCATCACTCGATTTTCCTTCCTATGTGCACTGTTGGGCGGAAGTGGTGTAGTGGCAAGTGGCACGCTTACCACGCGAGCGGTCCGGGGATCAAATCCTGGGTCGTGAGTCGCCCGGGCCAACCAAGCCTTCCATCCCTCCGGGGTCGGTTAATTGGTACCAGACTTGTCTGGGAGGATAAAAACACTGACTTGTACATCGGCTGGCCCCCGCAAGTCATTGTATAGGCCACATCGCATTCAAACGCCACTACGAATGTACAAATGGAAGTAGAATGCGTGCCGCATCCCAAAAAGGGATTGATCGTTAAGTGCACTTTACAGAAGTTATCGAAGCAGCAACTGTTTGTGATCCTCATTGGCATGGTGCCAGTGTTTACCCGACCAACCTCTATATTACCCTTTAACGTCCGCTCCCG